ATAAAAAAATGTACGAAATTACTCTTATTATTATTTGATTGCTTATATGAATTTAATAAATATATTTAATTGAAAAGGAAATTTTTTAAATTATAAACTTCAGAATAATAATATTTAATAAAATTAAATATCGAATTTTTTACCTGCTTAATATAATAATCCTACTTAATAAAATATTTAATAAACTTAATGAAAATATTTTATTTCAGAAATATTTTATATTTAGAATTCTCTTATTCTTTTTATTTATGCTTTAATCGCATATTAATTTTCGATTAAATACATATGGATATCGTAAAATAAAGATCGCCCAGATATTAATGTCATGAGTCGGCACTGTAGTGAATCTGTTAGAGATGGAAAGGGACGCGCGTGGGGTGGCAATGATAGTAGAGAAAGAGGGGTGACTTTCCCCTTGCTGTTAAGATGGAGGCTCGTCTTTGCAAGGGCAAACGGGTCAAATGTTTTTTGAAAACGTTATTCCCTGAAATCATTGCATAAGTATGGTTGGTGTCAGTGTTAAATTGATTGACCAACCGACACTTAATATTCTTTTTGTTAATTATTCAACACGACAGGATCCATTATTTTCGTCTTTTGTATTGTTTTAATTATTTCAGAAAAAACCAAGTCTTTTATATAAAAAAAGAGAAGAGAAAGAGCTATATATAAGAGAAACACACACGGAAGAGAAACAGAAAAAGAAAAAGAAAAATCTTTTATATTTTGCATAGCACAAACAGTTTTAATAATTATAAAAATTAATTTATTTTAATCTTGAATTTATTATTTGATGAAATATTATCGCATTAAATTCGGAAATAATTAAATATTTAATTCATGTTTCGTTTTAAAATTTGTTTTATAGTAGTCTTGATGCAAGTATTATTTATAGCAGTCTTGATGCAAGTATTATATACAATTTTTGTATTAATCCAGATTGATCTGGTATATTCTTGTGAGTGAAAAATATTGCATTTAGGGCAAGTGTTAGTTTAGCAATATTAGATAACAGAGATATATTGAATTTAATTAATGATTTGTTTTCGAGGAATTTATCGAAGCTAATTGCATCAACATGATGAAATATGTTATGCGAGACAGAAACTGACTTAAACTTAAAGAATGATGCAACGTTTCAGAGCAGATTCGAATACGAGGGAGTGAAAGTCCAGTCGCGATTGGGTGGCTCCGGGGGCTCGCCCGTTCAATCCTTCGTTACTGATGTCACAGAGTTTCTTCAGTTAGAGAGACGGAATTGTGTCTCAAACTTTTCTGTTCTTTTTAATACCAACTTCTGTATTTTTCTTCCAAAGCTATATTTTTCATTTTTTCTCTTTTCTTTTTTTTTTAATATCTGTTACATTTTACAAACTTTACAATTTTCTTTTTTTATACAATCTTATTCTCTCCCTTTTCTGTCCCTATCCTATATCCTCTTAGCAGTTTTAGGAAATTGTAGTGTATACTATATATAGTATATATAGTATATAGTATATATATGAATATATATATTCAAAATAAATAATTAAAAATTACATAATTAATTAAATATTGTATTACAAAAATAATATTTTTTAGTTGTATCTTGTAATTATAATTTTTAATAATATTGAAAATTTTTTGAATTTTGAGATTATTGCGTACATCGTGCAATGCAACATTGCCACAATTTATACGTAGCGTTACGTTATCTGTGATTCTGCGAAAGGAATTACATGCTAACAATAAGACGTTAATCTTTTCCGGTTTTGTAGCTCTCTATCTGTCAATAAACATAAATCTGACTGATAAATAACGACCGATAAGATAGCTTAGTCACTGGTTATTGATGCAATTTAATTTCGCCATTTTTTGCATGTTGATTTAATTCTAAAGTATATTTCAAATAGAAGATTATATTATACAGATATGATAAGTATAATATCATATGATATCATAGATATAATATAGTATTAATCTGTGCTATTGTCTGTGCGTTTTTTTTTAATAACTCTCATTCATATCAATAATTTCTAGTAATAATTTATTTTAAGAGCAATTTGTTTTAAAACCCCGGGGTTTTGTTTATAAACATCGAAACGAACGAGACGGATGTTTCTTTTTTTTTTCTTATTTAACTCGCGCTCTTTGATGATAACCTTCGACAAAGCTATAATTGATAATCGACTCTGCGCAATGAGTACGATAACAACGACACTCAATTATATTGTTTATCTGACGGATTTATATTGGTTTCAAACGGAAACAGCCGGTTTTATATGCGTTTCGATACATCGTCCGACGAAGAACTTCGCATATACATATAATCTCTTATTTGTTTCTGCATTAATTATCTCGACGATGATCAAAGTCCGCATATCATATCACGAGACCCGATATCATCATTTCGTTAGGGTTATCATAATGATATATTCTTTAACTGCATCACGTATCAATTTTAGATGGTAATAGATCATAGTCGATATCTTTCTGCGACCCATCGAGAAAGAAGCTGCAGTTAAAGTGACGTTCGCGCTATCACATGTGCAGCTAACATATGATATACATACGGAGCGAACGCGCAGGCAGCATATGATATACATATGGGGAATCCAATTTATTAGCAAGATAAACATTATTCAGACTTAGGTATTTTAAGGATATACCTGCTCCGAAGAAAATGCGTATGCTCGAACATTCACGTACGCATTCCGAAACGGCTCTTATTTGTTTCTGCATTAATTATCTCGACGATGATCAAAGTCCGCATATCATTCAGATAAGATTGCCACGAGACCCGATATCATCATTTCGTTAGGGTTATCATAATGATATATTCTTTAACTGCATCACGTATCAATTTTAGATGGTAATAGATCATAGTCGATATCTTTCTGCGACCCATCGAGAAAGAAGCTGCAGTTAAAGTGACGTTCGCGCTATCACATGTGCAGCTAACATATGATATACATACGGAGCGAACGCGCAGGCAGCATATGATATACATATGGGGAATCCAATTTATTAGCAAGATAAACATTATTCAGACTTAGGTATTTTAAGGATATACCTGCTCCGAAGAAAATGCGTATGCTCGAACATTCACGTACGCATTCCGAAACGGCCCGAACGCTCACGTATACGTGACCCACTGCACATTCGCATCTTTAACGCGTCTTTAAAATCGAGAATACAGATTTTTATCCCGAATATGCATAATATCTGACTTGGAAATTATTAAGAAACATTATAGAAATTTTTTACACAAATTATTTTTACAGCTATTTACTGTAACGAAAAATCGCAATTATTTTGCAACTATTTTGCAAGAAATATAACAAAAAATTCATTTTGTAAAAGTCATTATTTTAACGTAATATGTGATACTTAGCTATCGCTATTGCTTTAAAAGAGCAAACTATGAAATTTTGGAAATTCGATATTTCATATGCAACGACCTAATATTTTAAATAATAATTTTTAGTAATTTAGTCTATTGTTGAACACCTCATACCTAATGTAACGAGAATACATTTTATAATGGAATATAATCGAAGCAGATGAAGACAAAATTCACAGCGAATGCTTTGGACACCGCGTGAAACAGGATCGTCGCGATGTTATATAATAGCTATCAGCAAAAAGCGCGATGTTGTTACACTCATTACTTATATGTGTTATGCACAGTAATATAAAGTACGTGACGTATGGCAATATAGACAATTGTTGATGCAACCAATGGTAGCAGCATCGAGTGACAGTGTCTCGATTAATCATGTGTGAACGTATAACGAATTAATCTTCTATATTCAAAAGAAAAAAAATGAAGATTTTTCCGAAATGAAAAAAGAAAATTGCATGATGACATTACAATGAGACATACTGAGAATTCTTTTTCACGCTTTCCGGCGGGCTAAAGGAGATAACATTCGTAACGCATGATTAATATTCAATGTTAATGACGTCATGCGACAGAAATGTGCACGTCAAATGCTTTATTATTATTTAGCAGCACACCGACTATTCTATATATATATATATATATATATATATATTTCGATTTAAAGTTATATTTTGTCATGTCAAGTATTACGCGTAAACATGCAAAACATGCTTTATATTTACTGATTCAAGCGGTATTCATCTATCGAAACGCTGCTCGCGACGACAAAAATATGCAGAAACAACGAACAGTTAGCTTAGAATATTCATGATTTTTTTTTCAAATTAATAACAAATTTCTTCCCATTTCAATTCACCATTTGATATACCATGTCTTTTAGAAAATGTGAATTTGGTTATAACAATCTTTTCTGCTTATTTTAAATAAGCCGGATTTTGGACCCTTGCTTTTTTGAAATATTTTATATAGATTAAATACTCTCGCATCATATTTTTCTAAGAAAATAAAATATATACATTATCTAAAAAGTTTAATAATATTTCTCTCTTCCTCTTTCTTTTAGAATAAGAAGCCAATTTCATAATCTTGATTTGATGAAATATAGGAAATTTAAATAAAAATGGAAAGTTTTAAAAATTAAAAATAATTTTATATTTAGAATGTTAAAGTGTGCATTAATATGCATTTTTTTATGTTAATTACTCTACACACATTATATCTAATTTAAAAATGAAAGAATAATGTTATATGGATTGTCCAACTTTTTACAATTTTATAAACTTAATTTTTAAAAATTGCAGAAATTTAGATAAAATAAGAACATATATTTTGTTAGAGAATGTACTAAATAAAAAATATTGGATTATCAGTAAACATTTACTTTATAAGAATATTCGATATAACTGAAATGATCAAAATCAATATTTCATATGCAATACTTAATAATATTTGATAATAATTTTTGATATTGTTATCTTTAATTTTCCAATACTTTCGATATCTTTCCATCCAATTAAATATTTTCTGTCATTAATTTTTTCTAAACAATTTAACCCACATAATCTAAGTAAAATATTAATAAGAATGGATTGCCTGTTTAGACACTTCCGGGGTGCACATTTCCACTTCGTTACTCTTGCAACAAGGTCTTCGGATGAGCACCGTAACTGGCTGGAATCATTGTGCTAGCTAGCTGACATATGAACAATCTTACATACACGTAAATAGAGATACATTTCTAAGAAATTTCTAATTTTGTTTTCAATGATTTTCCATTATATAAATTTGTATTATTTTCAATAATAATATTTTTATTTATTTCCAATTATTTTATGGAATATATATTGCATATTTCTAATTATATTTAATCAAAAAATATGAATGCTCTTTATTGTAAGATGTAATTATATATATACAATTATTAATAATTATACGAAAATTATATACCAAATTTGCTCCAAGTACATATCCATGTTCCATATTTACAAGAAGCAAACACTTTCTTTAAGGAATACAATTCTTAAGAAACGTTATAAATGAAATGATATAAAATGACATAAGTAATTACTGTAATGAAGTGTGTTAAAAGCGTACGGTTATTTTCAAAATAAACAAGCTATTTTTAGAAATCGATATTAAAGGCGAAAGAACAAATAAGATAGAAATAAAATATCTAACAATAAATAAGTATTTTCAAATCACTACGAGCCTTCAAACATTGATGTGTTTGTATGATACATCTATAATATATGATTCTGCTGTCAGCAATCATAAAATTTGCTCTCCGTAGCGGAACTAGTTTCAATCTTCACTATAGGTCTTCAGCCAAAAATGATTATGTAAAGATCCCTTCTATAGGTTTTAATTAAAGATTGATCACACAAATAAACACACACATTTAAAGTACATATATATAATTCATGTTTTTTATTTTCTCTATTTTATTTTTATATAATAATCTTACTGACATAAAGAGTACTGAGAATAAATTAAAGGGATGACTAGGCAAAATAAATCTTTTAAGAAAGAAAGAGAATTTTACATATATAGTTTAATATTTTCGTTTAATTAGAGTAGATTTAAAAATTTTAATATACAGGGTGTTCCCGGGTTAAATGGCCAAACTTGAAATATGAAAGGATCTTAAAACAAAAAAAAAAAAAAAATTTCCTTTGGAAGTATGCTCGCAAACGCTTCGTTCAAGAGATATTGACTTCTGAAGTTATGAACTATAGGAACGAATAATTTCGAAATGTTTCTTTTTATTTTTGTTTTGAAGATCGAAGGTCATTGACAGGCTTGTGTTTGCACTGTAAACAAAGCTCCGTACATTTGTATCAAATAATTGTTAGTTCGTTGAATGCTTTCGTGTAATAAACTAGTACAATCATGCCTCATACGTATTCGATTAGTGAATATGCCGATATAGTATATTTATATGGGTTTTGTGACGGAAATGCTAACGCTACAAAACATTTAATTATTAAATTTTGATTATTGTACAGCAATAAATAGAATAAACCTAGATTATTTCGAAATTATTCTTTCCTATAGTTCATAACTTCAGAAGTCAATATCTCTTGAACGAAGCGTTTGCGAGCATACTTCCAGAGGAAAATTTTTTTCTTGTTTTAAGGTGTTAAATTTATATTTCAAGTTTGGTCATTTAACCCGGGAACACCCTGTATATAAATTTTATATAAAATACTAATTTTTATTACATAATGATAGCCCATATGTACTTTTATTCGAACTCTCTATATAACATCATTAAATCAAAATAGCAATAAGAATTTCTATCTTCTAATTATCTAATTAATTTTGCAATCAATTCTTTCCGTGGACATACTATTTTTTTGCTATCTATTTTAGCTATCACATTGGATCTAAGAGACCTATTCGTCTTTATATGTACTTTTATGATGTCTATATATTTCAGATATCAACACTAATGAATAGGTATCGTAGTTTCGAATCTGTACTTATATGATAATAAAAGTAAAAACTTGCTGCCATAATTTCGTAAATAAATATTTCATTTATAAGAAATTAATGTCTTGATTCAGCACAGAAAAAATATTTTTAGATGGTACACAAACATGAAAAAAGAATGTTACAACTTTATGTGTAATAATTTGAGATATAACTATTAGAGAATTTTAATCTTGGTATTATTTAACAAAATTGTCAATGGAATATTTTAATATTAACATGGAAACACTGCAAGCAATCAGTATAGCTGATTTTAGAATGATAAAATTTTCAAGTACTGTTGTGTAAGAGCTGAACTGAAAATTTAAGTAATGTAACGGCTTAAAAAATTCTCGAATTTTTACATAGCGATGCCAATTTATAAAATTAAAATATACGTATCTGAATTTTTGCTCATTGACCCATGTGTGTAAACTAAGATTTTTGCAACAAGAAGAAATCCACAGTTATACGGCATAAACAAATAGAATATCTAAAAATTCCCTGACTAATGACGTCCAAATAATGATGCATTTTTTTCTCGTGACATTCTATCCAAAGAAAGAGAGAGAGAGAGACATGTGAATTACCTCGATCGTCGGACTTGGATGCAGATCCTCGTTTTCACATCTTCGCGATGTGTCTTTCTTACTGTAACACTTGCATAGCTTACTGAATAACGACCTGTTTTTTGTCTTCATTTCGATAGTTCACCTTGATACTTTGACCTTGACTTTTTCCACTATTTTACACTTTCCTAGTAAAACTGAATCCGCGACTAGTCTTTGCACGAATGATTGCACTGCCCGCTCATTGACTATCTGAGAGTGATATCAGGAGGCATCTGACCCTGAACAAATTCTTACGAAATAATTTTGGCCAGCACGTTATTAGCGCCATCTGAAAGTATTTTCCTTTCAAAGTATAGTACGTACACACACATACGAGAACGAAAAATCAATATGGCACTAGCCAAAGACAACCATATCGCCAAAAATTCTGGAATCGCAAATCATACATAAAAAAAGGGAATTATACATGAGAAATATTGTATTCATAATGGGAAAGATGCCATTTTCTTCGAAGGAATTAAAGATGTAGAGGAAGAAAAGATGTCGCGTTTCTAATTACGTTTCTGTGCGAAATCCGCTGTGAATTTTTCAGAAAATTGAAAAGATGTTCTTTTAAGGTTGTTTTACAGCTGAAATTTGCATCGCTTGAAAAATGCATTCGGAAAATTTTAATATCCCGCCATTTTGCCTCCGACAGGATCATTCTATGCCTGATTGTGAGTGTGTCTGAATAGACCTGCCATGTTCCAGCATGTAACTGGCTCGAAATTTAAATGTCTCGCAAAATGACAAATACATTATTACTCCAAAATTTAAATATTTTTTTTGTTTGTTATATAATACAATTGTATTTAACAATAAGAGATTAAAAAATGCTTTTTATTTACGTTTTTTTTCTTTGTATTTATGTCTTTCTTTATAAAGATAAGAAGCGGCTTAGCAATGAAATACTAAAGACATATTTAAGGATAGAACATATTTAAGGATAGAATAAACTAATTTTTAATTAGCGAGAGAAAAAAATGCGAATTTATACCACATCACGATTGAACATAAATGGTTCAATAAAATCGTATCTTTAATATGCCCTATAAACTATATCTTTACAACACCAATAAAGAGTACACGTATTTAAAAATAGGCATAGTTTATTTAGTGATATAATATTTTTGATTCTTATTGTGTTAGATAGTAGCAAGAATTTTGGATCAATTTAAAAAAAGCATAAAGGGTGTTTCAATATTTTCCTTTTATTCTCCGACTTAATTCTTCTTTTTTCATTTTGTATGATTGTTCATATGTAATATATACAAAAGAAAGCTGCTGTAACAACCTACATTAGGAATAACAAAAATATAAATTTTATATAAAAATATTTTAGAATGCAAAGATTATATATATGTATGTATATGTATGTGTGAAATTTATCCAAAATTCACAAATGAATGTAATCTAATACTTCTTGATTATAAATTTGTTTTCTCAAATCAGATTAGATAATGCGATCGGTTTCGCGATTTTTCTTCCAAGTGTTTTTTGCAGCACATTGACGGAAATCGCGTTTATTATTATTGCATTCTGTTTTATTTTTTTATTTTTTTCAAAATAAGGGATTCTGTTTTGTGTTATGACCATGCGAATAATTTTTCACACTGTTTTATAGAGTATTGAGAATCATTTGGATCCGTTTCATGAGGTCCGTTGTGTCTGTTAAGAGTTAGGGCGAATTAGTAATTTGCACAAAAACTCATGGTACTTATGCAACAAGGGTCAAGGATGCTAAGGGAGGGAGAGATCATCGACTCACCGATTGGTCAATGTGCTCCCATTTCTCCCCAACATAGTCCCAGGCTTGTTCGGTCATTGTTCGCGAGAAGAAAAAGAAAAAAAAATGATAAAAATACGGGAGCGAGATATGATAAATATCAATGGAGGTCGTGATTAGCGACAGGTAATCACGACTCTCTCGAGATCACTGCGGGCTTACATCACTTGCGCCGGTGTTGTTCACGGTCACAAATATAGCCAAGCTTGATCCTTGAATGTGTGTGTCTCGCTTCGAATGTGATTATGTAGATGCGCTTTCATCGCGTACGTGTTCTCTTAAAGTATTTTGGGCGAGAGCAGAAGTAGAGATGGGACTAAGCATCGCGCGAAATAGATTTCGAACCTACTAATAGAGTAGTTTAAACGTCTCGCGGTTACTTCGAGATACAAACGCAAAATAGAAGATAAATCCAACCAAATAATAACTTGTGATCATCCTGACGTCGACTCCGGTTCAAAGATTATTGATTGTTATTCATAAATTTCAGGACTCGAGTATTCAACAAGAGCAAAAGTCTTAGTTCAAGAATGCATGATGAGAGAATTCAGATTGTAGATGATGAAATCCAAGATCTGTTAGAGAGATGAAAGATCAATTTTAATGTACGCACTTATGAATCAGAATTCATTCCAGATTTCACAATTTCTGGATTTATACTTGCAAAGTAAAATAATCGAGTTGTTTTTTATTTTTAAAATAAGTGCCTGAGTTGATTGACATGAATTCTTGAATTCTTTTTTTTCTCTTTGAAAATTGGATATATATATTGAATTTTATTAAGTTTACAACAGTAAACGGTTTCAACAGAGAGTAAACGGAAGATCATTGTCATGTAATTAATAATAATTTGATAAGATAGAAAAGAGTTCAAATTTATTCAGGATTCTATTTAATTTTAAAATATTGCTTTTATTTCTTTCAAACATTCATAAAAAATTGACGAGTTTATCTTATATAGATTCAATTCTATTTAGAAATTTTGTCAATGTCCATTTCATATTACTAAATTGAATCAAAATCAATAATTGATTGTATTTCCTTGGGATTTCTTGCGTAGCTTCTAAACATTCCGTCATTTTGCTTATCGTTAAGATTTCGTATGAAGCTTTTTACTTATTATTATATTTCTTTAATACAAAAAAAATTTTCTATATTTTGAACTGTTTAATCGCGCGATTTGTTCGAGGCTTTGTCTGACGATGAGCTTTGATCATCGGACCAACACAACGTCAGGATGGCCGAGCGGTCTAAGGCGCTGCGTTCAGGTCGCAGTCCACTTCTGTGGGCGTGGGTTCGAATCCCACTTCTGACAAATCCTTTTGTCTCAAGAAATAAAACAATAATTTTTGAATATGATATACATGTATTTAAACATTTTACAAAAGAATAATATATAAGTATTATGCAATATATTATTATATCACTTCATGTTTGGAACCGATCGCTGCCAGCAAGTAAAGGAACAAATCTATTTTTCTCTTCCAAGAACTATTCTATAAATCTTCCGGATTGTTTGTATAGGGCAGCAATGATAACAGCCAGAATAAGAGCGAGTAATTTTCGACATCAAAGCTTAACTGTTACCAGATGTCATTTGCCAAATGGTCAGGTGTGACGTTCATAAATTCAGATGAAAAGACTCGCTCATTCAAAACATGAGTGAGTCTTGAAGTCAAGACATGACTAGTGTCGTAAAATAAAAGGAATAACAATATCGTATATTGAAATGTTAAGTGTAAAATATCTCATAAATATTTGACATAGGAAATTAATAAATGTTATATGGGAAAATATATATTTATTATGTGTAGCTTGTGTGTGTCATATGTATATATATATATAATAAAAATTATTTCTATTTAACGAAAAATTATTTCCCATATTAGAAGAAATCTCACACAATCTTTGAACTTTGAACTATACATTATTTATAGCAAACATATATATTGTATGAATGTAAGATACATCTCTATCTTTAACTGGACCTAATATAAATATATATAAAATATGTTCTATAAAAGGTTTTTAAACGCGCTATCATATACCGCGTATATGTGATATCATTGGCGCATGCGCGGCCTACATCAGAGGAAGAGTTGACAGTTGGTGTCACTAAGCACCCTAGGCCCTAGGCACTCAGTCGTCAACATGGCGGATAGCGACTTACTCGTTACAATCTCGGGCGCGGCGCTTTCGCTGCTATTCTTCGAGAATGTCCGCAGTGTCGGCAATCAGGTAAATTCGATCTTGTCATAACTTTTTAATAATCTTACGTGATCTGCCGATGAAAATTCTATCGTTGAAAAAATTAGACGCGCTTTTATTCTCTTATAACCTCTACACTCGGCGAAAATGACGTTTTGTAATCTTACAGATGGGCTTCCTTCTCGGGGAAGCGCTCGAATTTGTCGTCAAGACCTACACCGACTCTGACAATCAAGTGGAGACCGTCAAGATTCATATTAGTGAGTATAATTGCCTTGACGCTTTATGTCTACTTGTAAACAACGAAACAGATATGAGAAGTCAAGTGCAGAAAGTGCAAATCGAATTTATTTTAGAGCGATACAAGAAGTGCAGTTAAATAGGGTAGATGATAAATGTTTAAAAATATTCTCAGATTTCGATGAAAATATGTACTTGCTCGAATTCTTTTTATATATAAAATGAGATTTGTAAAATTGAAAAATTATTGTTTGGCATTGTAAAGAGAATAATGAATTATTAAAAAGTTAAGTTTTTAAGGTTAGAAAATCTATCACAGACTGAATAAATGCGCGGTTTTATATAATATATAATCGATATATTCTGAGATCATCTGGTTGAATTTACTTGAACGTATTTATCAAGACTGCTAAGATTTTCGTATAATTATATCATAAACTTTGAAATTATAGAAATTTTGTATTTTATTAATGCAATATATTGTGCACTAAAATTGAAATATAAAAGATTAATATAGATCTCTGCAAAGTGCTTGTGTATTTGTTTAAAACAATTATTATGTAAGTTAAACAAGGGATTATAAATTAAAATAATTATATATATTGGAATAATAATGGCAATAACAGTAATAATAATAATATTGACATTAAGTGTAATAATAAGGTATGAAAGTTTATCAAGTTTTACATTAAATTTATTTAGATAGATAATGCCATGTTTATTTTACTATCTGTATTGTCAGAGAGAATTGACTCATCTAAGAATTAATCTAAGAATCTAAGAATTAATTTGAGTAGAATATAGTTGAACCTAACAAACTTTCATGTCTTAAATATGACTATTATTATTATTATTATTATTAGTATTAGTATTATTACTCTTTTTATATTATTACTTTATAATTTATATTATTAAGCAATATTTATCATTTTCAGATGTGGAGGCTATTGTAACATGTCCTTTTCCTGATCTTATGCATGATAGCATTCATATCAACAAGGAGAAACTGAAGGATTTTGTGCATGATAAGAGCAAACAAGTAATTGGTTGTTTCCGTTTTCGCAGAAATACAACCAATTTGACTCTTACCTGTACAGATAAGCTTCTGCACAAACAGTTTGCCTCGCACTTCTCTGGTGGAAATGGCTGTAAGGAAGATTTCTTTCTTACTTGCCTTCTGAGTGCCTCTACTTCTGAAACATCTGGTACTCACAAGTTTCGCCATGTGTTCCTCAGGCGTAATAAGCGAGGGTAAGTATCATGTCAAGATTTGGGAATTAATCTTCTTTCACTTATAAATCAATTCTTTGCGATTTAAATCTTTTTATTTTGAATTATTGCTGATATGAAATCAATTACTTTTATTCATAGTAAATAAATATCTTCAAAGGTTATAATTATAAGAATTTTTACATAAATTCGTGTGTGCTCAAATGTATCATTATTTGATTTCAGAATAAATTGATTACATTTCTGCATGATCCTTTTTCTTTTTTGATTGGTGTAATACTATATTTAATCGTATTTATATTTATATGTAAAATATAAAATACCTCATAACTAAATTGGTATTTTTAATAAGCATATTCATATATTTCAAAAAAAAAAAATAATAATTTTGTCTTACGAGCGGTGAAAGTTTTTTTACATTGTTGTCTTACAATTTGTTTTATTATTGATTATTATAGAATATTTGAACCGATATCTTTAAAAATAAACAATCTGGGAGATGATGCATCCAGACACGATGGTTCAGATTATAAACCGACACCTGTTAGAAAGTCTACACGCACACCTGATGGCTTTACTGAACTAATAGAATCATTGAAGTGAGTAAACATTTATTAATGTAATAATTATTACATTATTGCATTTAATAATATACTTTGTCTCAAACTGTAAGAAATTATTTTTATAATCTCAATCTATTGATCTATCAATTAAATTATGTATGTATATTTATGTATTATATATTTACATACTGTAAATATATCTGTTTTCATAGTTTGAAATCTGGAGTTAAATATTGTAACATTTATTAATTAATTAATATTACATCTAATATTATCAATTCTTTTAATGGCTTTTTCTAAATATGGAATGTATATTGTGAATTGTTTATTTTATATATTTGATAACATTAAATATACAGTTTTAATGTCACAAACTCTTTGATTTTAAACTCAATGTTATACATGCACATTTCTTTATTTTCTGTTTCTACAAATTTATTGGTACTTAAAAAATCGTGAATGTTTTATAATAATAGAAGCTTATTTTCAGAAAAGAATTTTGTCGCTTTAATACGAGTATAATATATAATATTTGATTATCAAAAAATATATACTTCATATAAAAATGTTACATTAAATTAAAAAAAAATTTCAAAAGCGTTTTAACTTTAACATTAAAATATACAACAACAATTAAAAATATCAATTAGCAATTAGTTAGGTATGTATTCTTTATAGTTTGGATGTAGCGAGGATAGGTGGATTAGGCTCCGCTATGCTAATTCAAAGGGCTGCTGAACAACATTTGATGTCACTGATCCCGAAAGTGTGTGAATCCGATCTGGAGGTAGCCGAATTGGAGAGGCAAGTGCGCGAATTGAGAACCAAAGTCACAGTACAACAATCGGCCAAAAGGTCAAAAATCAATGGCGAAAACTGCAATAGAATCTCCAAGACAAGCAGGGAGAATTGCCTTTTGGAAAAAATCGATTCTTCGGCGAAAAATGAGATGAGAATCGGCGATGACGCGCGTCTCCAAAGAGAGGACATTCCGTCTTGCGTATGTTATCTTGAAAACTTGTTTATATATTAAATAATATAATATACGATATATTTCAGATAAACCACACTTCTTTTTATTTATTACAGATTTTCTTTGAAAATTTTTGTATTAATTTCTTCTTATCGAGTAAATTTTATGCAAATTCATTATCTTCTTCACAATTTTTAATAATTTTTGTTGTTAAACATTTCAGTGTAATCAAGTCTTAAATTAGGTTCTAAGATTGCGAATGATAAAAAAAAAAAAAAAAAAAATATTCAGATTAAAGAATTAGAAACATTAAACACACACACACACACACACACACACATGTATGTATGTATGTATGTATTACTCTCTAATTAGACTACCAATAATCGAACTCCCTGCCGCAATACCGCCGCCTGCATCGCTAAAAGCGCAGAAAAATCTCGCCGATTGGGACGCAGCAGTCCACAAGAAAGTAGTAACCAACATCAAGAAACACAAAACTCCTTCACCAATAGCAGGCGCTCCATTCCGGAAATTGCCACTGAATCTATTTGTCAAGAAGGCAGTGAGATAAGCCTAGGTAGAGGCAGGGGTAGCGGTCGGGGCAGTCACGAATTCACGCCGGGCATGAAGAAAATACGTCGTACTCCAGTCATACCTCACATGTATTCCTCTCGCGAAAGAAGCACCACACCAGAACAGGATTTTTCTGACGCAGAATGCCCTGCTACTGTCAAGTCTCCCGTTCTCAGGTGAGGGGCTAGAAGCAAACAAATTAAAAATTAAAAAAAATTTTTTTAATTTTAATTTTTTAGGAAAGAAAATTAAGAAGTAATTAAAGTAAAATCAAAAGAATAATATGTTTCTTTTTATTTAAGTTGACTATGAATTATTGATTTATAAAATAAAAGATTCCTATGAGAAAATTAACTATTTTACCAACAAAGACATCTCTTTAAATTTTAAATGAATAAAATATAAATAATAAAATTTTATTGATATAACAGATAATTGTTTATTTCAGTAATACTTAATTATACCTCATAGGTCCTACAACCAGGTAACAAAAAAGACAAATCTGGACAAGTGCAATTCATCAGTGGCATCATTGGATATTTGAGTGAAGAAATTAAACTCCAGAGAAATATATTGTTTTAACTTTTCTCTAACTTCAGACATTCAAAAATTTGAGGAAGATTTGAAAGAACCTGAAAAAATAAAAAAAAAAAAAGGAAATTCTAATGTCGTACAAAGCACATGATTGAAGGAATTCGAAAAAAATTTGAGAGAATCTAAAAAAGAAAAAAAAAAGAGAGAGAAGTCTCATAGTTAAAAAGGATCAAAAGACATCTCTGGAGACGTTAATGTCCCTGATCTTTAAGAGGGGAATATGTTTATTGTAAGAGGTTAAAAACAATTTTTGTATCAATTATTCTATTTATAGGTGCCTTAAATTCTGCAAACACATTCGAGAAAATTTGATTAAGGCTTCGACAAAAGATTAATTATATGTTTTGTTTCTTATTTTACGTTTGTCACTTAATTCAGTTTGTTTATTGTGCCATTGAGTTTCTATACAAAGTAAATATATTTTGCTATAAAATAACATGTGTAAAGTTTTTAGTTAACACACTGAAAATACTTTGTAAATAAAAATAAACTGCAAAATGATGGTTATTGTATTTTGTATTATATAAAATAATTAATAATTTAATTTAATAATTTATATAATTAATATCAGTTAACTATATCTGGCTGCACCATATATACCTAACTAGAATTGAGAATACTAATAAAGGTAAATGAAATTTTTTTAAAGTGGATTATTTTTAAAGTGTGTGTGAAGTTTTCGTTAATTTATGACTTTTTATAGTGATTAATGCTCCTGATTCCTCACTTGAAAAAGAACAAAAAAGTTTACATTATTTTTCGTTTCTAGCATCATAATTTAATATAGTCACAGTGAAGAAATAGAAATCTTATAATACAAAAATAAGAAATTTAAATACAATATGTATTATATTATAATTAGTACTAGTATATCAATTGAAATGCATTTTTATTTCATTTTGTTAGAAATTTTACGAAAGTATATTAAGGATTAAAATATCGTAAAAAAATAATGGAAATTAGAAAAGAAAATGTAAGGATATAACATAAATATCACAAATTCAAATACTTCTAAAGAGATCTAAAGAATGACATGGTGCCAATCAAAAATTTTTATTTGAGGAACGCAATTTTAGAATATATCTGCAAAATTGCTTGGTACCCCGGTGACTTCCCAGATAGTAGCTGCCAGTCTTCGGGAATGTTCCAGAACGCAAGTCGAGGTGGTCAATCCTAAATGCACGCAATATAGTTCGTAGATCCGAACCTTGCTCGGTGAAAGTTTGGGAAAACATGTCTCGGTTAGTTTTCTATGCAGAAAAAGAATGATTTAGAATATTTAGATATTTGTGACCCTTTCATGGTACTATATTATTTTATAATATTTCATCAGTGTTTATATTTTAGGAAACGATTTCTTCATTAATAACAAAAAATTTGTGTTGTGTAAAATATAATTTAAAAAAAAATATATATTACATATTCTTTAAATATTCTTTCTGTACAGGTATTGATACTAAATAGGAAAAAATTTTACATTTTGATTAATATATATTTATTAATAGAACAATCTATTTCTCTTTTTTTATTGTTATTATATTTTCTAATATGCATATTAAAAGTAAAAAATATTAAAGTTTTTGTACATTTGATAATTATTCTGTTAGCACAAAATGCAACAAAAGATATATTTTTAATGCCAGATTTAAGCAATTATAACATTGTTATAAATTATATAGAAAAAAGAACTCTGTTATGGCAAAAGAGAAATATTTAATTCAAAAGAAGTAACTAAAAATATTACCTGTAATAATCTCCACAAAGTATACCAGGCACTGGAAAATTTTTCATTATATAATTGAGATAGACTTTACATTTCGGCGGTGAACAGCTCTGAAAAAGTATGAAAAAAATATGTACTTATGTACATAATGTAATTATATATAAAAATAAATAAATAGAACTTTTCACATACAGAATTATCCTCAAACCATAGAAAGTAGGAATAATTGAATGTGGTATCTTTCCACATAACTGATAAATGACCCTCTTGTAAATGCATTCTACTTTGCTCGACCATGTTCCAAATCTAAAAAGAAAAAAAAATAGATTTCTATATATAAACATTTTATTTATATTTATATCAAAATTTCTAAATCACTGCACGAATCTTATTCGGCATAGTCCAGGCTCATACAGAAATCCTGTATTTATATTATGCTATTTCCTGTGTTTTGTTTTTCAGCAAATAGTTAGATGATAGTAGATGTTAACTTTTTTAAATATATCTGTTACATCAAATATCTCTGTAATCAATGCTATCTAATCTGTACTGATTTAACTAAATTTCAAATTAATTTAATTGATTTCGTATTAAGATTGATAATTTTCAGGTTTTTACACTTTATATACATATATAAGTAATCAATAGGACTCACTTTTTTCATTGTGAGAGCAAGTGTCTCTGTACTCGTGAAATCTAATGTGGGTGCAACGAGTCTATGAGTTGTCCTGTCGATGTAGATGAAGTGTACTAGACCCGGAAATTCTTCAAGATACTTATTGATAGTTAGGGAAGTTCTTGAAAAATATGTAGCATTAAGGAGATATATTAAATAAAAAATGTTTGTATATTATCGGGTTTTTGCATATGTGATTTTTATATTAAACATTTTCAAATAATTTCTGAAAGAATAAAATATATGTAATTGAAAAATTTTAATAACTTTTTTGTCATTTTTTTTTAAATAAGGAGCCATTTTTATATATTTTTAATTTGATTTTGATTGAATGTATAAAAAAAGAAAGTTGGATATATATATATTATTATTTTTAAGTAGTTATATTATTATTTAATAGTTATTTTATTATATTTGTTTTTCAAACATATCAGGAGAAGTTTACTTTGTAAATTTCATAAAATATTGATAAATTAAAATTTTTTATATCGGCATTTTATAAATAATGATTCAATAAACTTTACTATTCAATAAACATTTTTTAGATAAAAGTAACACAATCATAATTACGTTATTCAAATTTTTTAGAAAAGGATATGATCCTAATGTGAAGTTCTTCAGGGCTTTAACTTTCAGAAAATCGCTGAAATCATTTAGCTTCTGTCTTACGAGTCTACCAACTGTCGTCAGAACATCGATTCCTTGTTTTAGAAAATTCCTATCAAAACAGGTCAAACGTAATAATTCTTTTAGAGTTTCCAGGAAACCGGAAATATTGGCCTCAATCTGTAGAACCACTTCGAGATCTCTGGAGCGCAATAGGTCGCTATACTTTTTTCGAACAAAGTCCCACTTAGTTTGCAATCTCTTCTGACACATATCGACATCATTACTGACAGTAGAACGATTTTTTTTAATTCCTTCCAGCACTTTTCTTATCGCTATATCGAGGTTCTCAAAAGCAGGCTTTAATTCGTCGATGTCTCGTTGAAATTGCAGATTGTTTATCAGATTTAAATAATGGAAGCTGTCACATAATCCTGAAGAAATGGAAAGATTTGTGGCTTCTACGATTGTTATCAAATTGATAGAGTCTGATAATTCGAAGATGTGAACTGCATTAGCTGTGTAGTTGTGTTGGCAGCCAAGAAGGAGCAAACGACTATAAAGGTCATCATCAGTCAAGGACGAAAGGCCTTCGTTTACGGAAGAGTCTCTGGAACCTCCTACAATAGATAAAAGATGATTATAATCTATCTAAATTAAATTTATTTCTTATTCACTTCGAGTTTTTTATTATGTTAGATGAAGAAATATATTCATTAGCAAAAACAAGTAATGTGCTGTAAGAACCTACGAAAGAGATTAGTGATATCCTCTGAGGTAGGAGTAGCCAGTTTAGCTCCAAAGTTTAATTTTGTTTCATCGCTTTTGGAAGCACTACTCTCTGGTAACAGAATATCACTGTCATCATCATTACTTTCACTATCATCATTACCCTCCAATCGATCATGCTTTCGTTTATTATTTATCACCCAGCACAGTAGTATCATCAACAAAATATCCGAAGCGTACAAATCATGAGCGTTCTTGCTGGAATACAGTGACAAAAACTTAGAACCCACTAAGAGTAGTACATGTAGATTGCTAAATTCGGGCTGCGAACTCTTCAGCTTGTCACAGGCATCATGCAGCACCTTGAGGACTGAGGAAGCTACTTCTGCATTCACAGACAACTGTTCCACCGCTTCCGTAAGTACACTCTGTTCGCAATTTCTTAAATTAGACCATGCATCCAGTAAAGAAGATACCAGACACACCTGCTGCCAATTGGTCTTCAATCTGCAAAGAAGGAAGCAATTAATTAGTTAAATGTGTTAATTGAAGATTAAATGCAAAAATTGCTATTATTATGATGTGACTATTATCATGACTATTCTATTAATCACAGCAACCATTTATTATAGCCTGGTTGCAATACACAATGCGAGCTAAGCATTGCGCACTTTTAATTTTAAATATAGTTTATTTGCTAAATTTTCTTCTTGATAAGAAATTATGAAAAGCTACTGTCATTGTAATATCTTAATACACTTGCCACTAACTCCTACAATCTCTTATATTCTTTTTAGATTTATGTCATTTATTTTTATTATATACTACTAACTACATGTTAACTACATACTAACATTGCAATATCAGGACCACACACATGCCGTACAATGGATACACATACTCCCAGCGTGCGTCTCATGAGCTCTATTTCTTTCATGGCAATATATATGAAGGTATAGCCAATATATTCATCGAATACCATGTTGGTTCCATCTTCGAATTTCATAGAGGTATAGGAGTTTCCAAATTGTGAAGCCATTACATGCTGAGAGGTAACGATAGGCGAAAACAGCTGCATTATGATATTGCGATTCAGTATGGAATTTTCTATATCTCTGGTATCCTACAAGAAGTATTTATAATTACTTATTAATGAATTACAATCAACAATTTGTTTATTATGTTAGAATTCTATTTTTTTCATATCTAAATATTGCAATAACTTTTTAATAAATTTTCTGTTCTCTTTCCC